AAAAAAAAAAAAAAAGAAAGAAAGAAAAGAAAGAAAGAGAGAGAAGGAGGGAGGGGAGGAAGGAAGGAATAAAAAGAAAAGAAAAATTTCCAAGTTCTCTTATAATCTAGTCCTCTTCCTCTGGGATGAACTCTGACCCATTAAGGTCCCTCTTAGAATACAGTGTCCTGAACAATACTCCAGATAAGGAGGGCAATGGAAACCACCCTCATCTAGACACTTGAGTTTATAATCACTTACATCCTTTTTACTTTCTTAGACAGCTACTTCAGGATGTTGGTTCATAACAGCTTGTGGTCTGTTAACCTCCCCAGCTCTTCTTCACTAGAGATGCCCTACTCTTCAACTAGTCTTTTCTCTCCCCTTGTTGTGGTGTTTTTTTAAATTAAAGGAAGAATATTACATTTATCCTGATTAAATATCATCTGGTTCATTTTTTTCCTATTCTGTCAAAAATCTAACTCTCAATTCTTGCATAATCTGTAGATTTGATAAATAATGGCTTCTATATTTTCATTCAAGTCTTTAACAAAAATGTCTAATAGTCAGGACCACGGACAGAACTCCCTCAGGGCAACCTGCAGAACCCTCCTCATCTTGCTCAGGACTCTCTGGATGAAAGCTGAACTAACTACTAACTTTGCATCTGTCCACTGTAGTGTCGCATAGCTATACAGCCTGGGTCCAGAGACATGATGGGGTGCAGCCAAAGGCCCCACAAAATCCCAGTAACCCAATGCAACCACCAGAGGAGGAGAGAAGGCTCACCTTGTGCCCACTGAGTGTCTGCTGGCTCCTAGGAAGAGCCTCGGTTTTCTCTAAGTGCTTCCAATACAGGTTATTGTTTAGAATCTGGGAAGCATGGACATTAGTTCCACCTGGCTGTGGTTGCTGGAGCCCACCTTTCCCTGTCTTAGGAAATCACACCACTCTGTCCCCTACATTCTCTGCTACCCAAACTTACCAACACTAGATCACAGAAGTTTTCTCCAGCTTAATGGATTTCATTGTGATGGTCCCCAAAAAAGGTTTTGTACAAAGATGTACCCAAATCAAATCTGGTTGCATTTGATTCTCAGAATAAACTTGTGGGGATGAGCAGGTGTTAACTTCCTTTACCACACAGGTAAACAGCTTAGAGAAGCTGTGTGATTTGGAGACGATTCACTTAGAAAGTGCAAGTCAGACCACTGCTTTTTTTTTCATGGGACACAGTGCCAAATGTCTCCCCCACTGGGAAGGTGTGAGGGAGGGTTCAGAGAGAATTCCTCTACCTCAAGGCCACCTTACCTCTCCAGGGACCTTCTTCCCCCAAGGATCCCAGGGGATGTCAAATATTCAGCATCCCTTGCCTCCCAGCTAGGAAGTGAAGGAGAAGAGGGTGAGACTCTGGCAGCTCTCCTGGTCGCTACTCTGGGGTGCCCCCAGCCCAAAGCAAACAGCAGGATATGTGAGGTGGTGTGAAGATGGAGATACTGGGGTGTCCAGATCCATAGCCCCCTGAGCTGCCCCAGACTCTCAGTCAGTCCTCTCCCTGCACCCGTCACTGCCCCATTGTGGCCTCCAGTCCACATAGTGGTGGTGAATTCCAAAGCTCTGCTGTCTCAGGGACAGAGATGGGGTGGAGCCAAATTCCTTAAAGAGGACTACTGGTTCCAGGATGGCTCCCTGGTCCTTGATCCTGCTGTACCCTCTACTCAGAAAGCCCTCTTCATCCTCTGTGCTTTCCCCCAGCTGTCTGTCCCCAGCACTGCAGGGGCTTAATAAGTATTGCCATCATCTTACTACATTTACCTCCACCACCAGACTATCACTGTTGACTCCATGTCACTAAATCATGAGCATCTTCAAGATTGGGACAGAGCCCCTGCAATCTCTTTAATGCCGCATATAGTAGGTGCTCAATTAATACCGGAACGAAATTGAATTTACATGAACAGAAGTCCCTTCCGAGAAGACCCCTTCTGTCTCGCTGTCCCGGATTCTCCTTTACTCCACATACCCACAGTCCCCATCAGTCCACTATCCACCCAGCTTAAAGATGCTCCCTCTTCCAGAAAACCTTCCCAAATACGACCTCACTTTGTGAGCTCTCCACTCTCTGAACTATAGAGCCCCCAAAAGGATGTTTTGAGGATTAAGTCAGATTATATAAATGAAATATTAATATAATATTGGGCATTACCAAGGCCCCATGAAGTCGGGCTGGTGAGGAAGCAAACAGCTGTCTCTTTTGCTCTTAGGCCTCTTCCTGATCTGATCGACAAGCCACCAGGGGGCGTCCTCAACCAAAATGTCCCAGGCCCTGGACACCAGCTGGGGCCCTGAGAACCAGGGGAAAAGTCCTAACCTGTGCATGTGAACTTCGTAGTTACATGGAAGATCGGTAGGAAGGATGGAGGGAATGATATTTGTAAGCCCATGATGTTCTTTCTTCTGGTCCCCCTTTTTACTAATGGGTGTGTGTATGCCTGCCGGTGCTCTCCAATGTCAAATATTTGTTCCTGTTTTCCAGGAGGCAATGCTCCCTCCCTTCCAGGAGGGAGAGCATTTGCTATTTACAAAAAAACATGGCCACGTCCATCCCGTCAGCAGTTCATGAGCTTTCCATCATTGCTCCCATTTTATAGATGAGAAAACTGAGTCTCAGAGGAATTTGTTAAGTGATAGGCTCTTGGGTGTGCTGAGTAACTCGCACTTTCTCCCAGGCCAGGGTCTCCTGGTGCCCCCTCCACAAACTTGGTTCTATGCACGCTCTGCTTTTGTCAGGGGTTATGACCCTTCCTCACTTCTTCCTTTTTCAGAAAGACATCATAGGATCGGACTCTCAACGTCATGGCTTCTCTTTTGGTTCCATTCTCCAGCACCCTGGGGACTCAGGAACAGAGGCTTCCTTTCTCTGAACTCTAAGGGGTTAAGGCTGGGTCCCGCCCCCTTCCCGCCCGGCTGGCGGGAGTATGAATAGCGTCGCTCCCACTCGGACTCCCAGTCGCTCAGGCTACTCCCCACCTCGCCCCATCTTTGTCCCAGTGGATCTCCTTTTCTTTCTAGTCCTTAGGGACTCTGAGCACCTCTCCCTTTTCCCAGTGGCCTGGTGCCCCGTGTGGGTCAGACAAGCAGGATGGAGGGCTGCATGGGGGAGGAGTCTTTCCAGATGTGGGAGCTCAACCGGCGCCTAGAGGCCTACCTGGCCCGGGTCAAGGCGTTGGAGGAGCAGAATGAGCTGCTAGGCGCGGAGCTCCGGGGGCACCGGACAAAGTCTGCGGACACCTCCTGGCGGGCCCGTGCCCATGACGAGCTGGCGGCCCTGCGCGCCCTGGTTGACCAGCGCTGGCGGGAGAAACACGCGGCCGAAGTGGCGCGCGACAACCTGGTGGATGAGCTGGAGGGCGTGGCGGCCCGATGCCAGCAGCTGCGGTTGGCCCGGGAGCGGACGGCAGCCGAGGCAGCCAGCTACCGGCGAGCCATCGAGGGGGAGAAGTGCGCTCAGTCCTGGCTGAGCACCCAGGCAGCAGAGCTAGCTCGCGAGCTAGAGGCCATGCGCGCCGCGCACGAGGAGGAGCGCGCGAGCCTGAACGCTCAGGCAGCCTGTGCCCCGCGCTGCCCAGTGCCGCCCCGCGGGCCTCCCGCGCCGGCCCCGGAGGTGGAGGAGCTAGCAAGACGGCTGGGCGAGGCGTGGCGCGGGGCAGTGCGAGGCTACCAGGAGCGCGTTGCGCACATGGAGGTGTCGCTGGTCCAGGCCCGCGAGAGGCTGGGCCGAGCTGTGCAGGGCGCTTGTGAGGGCCGTTTGGAGCTGCAGCAGCTCCAGGCAGAGCGGGGCGGCCTCCAGGAGCGCAGGACAGCACTGGAACAGCGGTTGGAGGGCCGCTGGCAGGAGCGGCTGCGGGCCACTGAAAAGTTCCAGGTGAGGAAGTCTCTGACCTGGGTGAGATCAGGTCCAGAGGGTCCCTGGGAGGCTCAGAGACCTTTTCGGAAGGGAGTGGGGCAGGGGCCCTACCAATTCAAGAGCCACTTCTTAGAAAACCCACACCTGATGCCACAGGTCCCAGACTTGTGCAGTTTACCTGGGGCATGGTTGGAATGATGGGATTCAAAGGCCTCTCAAAGTACATCCCTGGAAGGGTTTACAGCCGCCCTCTTACTCTCTGGATGTCATTTTCTGGCTCTGATGACCCTGTGGGCCCCACCCTAGGCTCTGCTGTCACTCAGAAGATGTCTAGCACTTCCCCTCAGTGCTGAGTCTGATAGTCTCACCACTGGGTATCGCCAAATTCTCTGCAGCCGTCCCCCCTGAGACAGGATGGCTGGGGGCCCTGAATGAGTGGTCACCAGACCCTCTCTCATGTCATGGTTTCTTGGCCCCTCACCCCACCCAAAGCACATTCCAGAGCCTGGGACAGCTGTCCCCCTTCACAAATCACAGATGTGACCAGCAGCTGAAAAAACAGCTTCTTGCCTGGGTCAGACAGAGGGGCTGTGGCTCTCTCTCACCAGCCATCCTCAGAGGAGGAGGATTCCAGAGCATGTGGGGAGGAGGGTGCGGGGGCCGGGTGTGAGGAGCAGGAGATGCAAAGACTGAGATGGGAGCAATGACCAGGGCTGCTTGGCTCCCAGTCCTACGGGACCCAGGCCTCTTGATTAATCGTTTTTCCTTCTGCACTCAGTTCTCCCCTCTCCTCTCTGTAACTCCTCTGTGGGAGCTGAGTTCTAAGCAACATGTGCTGTCACTTAATTAGCATCCTAAGAGGAGCAGGCCGTGGGAGAGGGCTGAGAGGGCCCTGTGCACATCTCGGTGGACCCAGAGGGCCTCTCCAGGCAGGAGTGGGATAAGAGAGGCAGGTTGTGCTCCACAGAGATGTCAGCTGGGTGGAAGATGCCACCCTGGCAGCCAGGCAGGGTGCAGGTGAGTCGGCAGGCCCATTCCTCACTGACTGCCTCTGGCCTGCTCTGCAGCTGGCTGTGGAGGCGCTGGAACAGGAGAAACAGGGCCTACAGAGCCAGATCGCCCAGGTTCTGGAAGGTCGGCAGCAGCTGGCACACCTCAAGATGTCCCTCAGCCTGGAGGTGGCCACATACAGGTACGGGCTGACCCTGACCTACCCAAGTACATAGATGTACACATATGCTGAGGTAGACTGTTCAGCTATAAGGGTCTGGAGGCCCAGCATGTGGCAGCTCTGTAATTCTAGGCTGGTTACGTCCATACTAAGACATATCCCACCTGGGCCCACTTGCTCCCCCAGGGATTCAGGACCTGAGAGGTTCCCTAAGCCCAGGAAATCCTCCTAGAAAAGGTGACACTGCTAGTGGGATGGCCTCTGGAGAGGGCCTGGGCATTTATGGGCCATCTGCATCCAGACCCTTCCCCCAAGGAGCCAAAGAGCCCCAAGTCTCAGGGTGTGCTCACACCAAGGCGTGATATCCCTTCAGCACTGCAGGTGCAGGTGGCTTGCGCCTGACCTGTCTCAGCTTTGTCTAGGGCTGAGAGCTGGGCTGAGTGATTTCCAAGGCTCTTTCAGCCTGAATATCCTGGGGCCTGACTTCTTTCAAGCCCTATGCCCTTGGCCTGTCCAGCCCCCTCACTGACCACATTTCCTGTTGTCTTAAGAAAGGGTGGGGAATGAGAAGAGGCTGCTTCTCAGTGGCTGTGTGATGTTGGGCAAAGCCCATAGTCCCTTCTGAGAAACTGACTAGGCTGATTGATGGAGCCCGAAAAAGGGGCTTTTTCACTTGTGAAGGGAGGTGTACACTCAGCCCACAGGGCAGGGGACAGGGCTGGACAAGCTATCAGGACAGTGCACCCCTTCCCCCCCAGAATCATTGGCCAAAACAAGGCAGGGGCTCTGGCACAAGTCCCAGAAGTGAGGAAGTCAGGGCCCAGAGGAGGGAGGCCAGTGAGGATTTGGGGAAGATTTGAAAGATAAGGGCTCTAGTTACACAGAGGACAGAGCTCAGAGGGAATGATGCAGCATTGAGGACAGAGTGAGACTACAGCAAGTACCAACCAGACTCCGAGGTCACAGAGAAGAGCAGAGAGGAGATAGAGGAGATATGCAGTATAACTTGTTAAATTGATTGGTTCCCTCCATCCCCCCACTCAACTCCAAGGGGGACCCTGGACACAAAGACCTCTGTGCCCTGAAGAGCTTGGGATCCAGAGGGCTTAGAGACCCCAAGATGAGGGCCTTGACCCCCAGTGAAACCTCTGAGGCGAAGGGGCTTTTAGGCCCCTGAGGAATTTAACCGCTGGCTTTTGAGGCATGAAAAGGATTTGGAGAGAGGGAGCTGAATTCATTTGCTTTTGTCCGTTGCTAGCCCTGGGGGCCCCAGGGGAGGAGGGAGCCCATCCCATGGGAACAGCCTGAGAATTCCCACTTCCCCAAAAGCCCCCCTTCTCAGACCCTCCAGATGGCAGTGTGGACAATGGCAGCAATTAGCATGAGAATTGGTCCCCCACACAGAGGATGAGGTCATTGGCCTGGGTGGGAGGAGGAGACAGACTAAGCAAGCAGGGGTGTGGCCTGTGGCAGCACCCGATGGTGTGGGAATATATGCGCTTGTGTGTCTGTGAGTTCTGCTGTGTGTCCCAAATATGTGTGTGACCCTGTGTCACCAAATGTGTGATGCCTGCGGTGATCATGTGATTTCACCCCAAGTGTGGCTTTTGTGTGACAGTGATCAGATGAAGAGGAGGCCTGCAGTGTGCCAGGGATGGTACCAGTTTGGCCTGAGTCTTCCCCAGCTGACTGCAGGCCTCAGGGCAAAGGGCCCACCTGGCTTTTCCTCTCTCATCCAGGACCCTCTTGGAGGCTGAGAATTCCCGGCTGCAGACTCCTGGCAATGTTCCCAAGGCTTCCCTTAGCTTCCAGGGTAAGAAGAGGAATCAGGTTCCTCCAGAAACTACCCTTCGTTGCTCTTCATCCCCAGACCTGCCTTCCCTGAGAAGTACCAAGATGTCTGAACTCCATAGCCCAGACATCAGTGCACATATGCACTCTCAGCCCAGCACAGGGGTGGGGGTGGGGAGCACACAGCCCATAAGCACCCTTGCCAGAAACGGTGGCTGCTCCGTGGCTACCCTTACTACCAGCAACATACTGACACTGCTGCTTCTCCTCTCTGCCTTTCCAGACCCCAAGCTGGAGCTGCAATTTCCTGGGACCCCAGAGGGCCGCCGTCTTGGACCTTTGCTCCCTGTCCTGAGCCCATCCTCCCTCCCCTCCCTCTCACCTGCTACCCTTGAGACTCCTGTGCCAGCCTTTCTGAAGAGTCAGGAATTCCTCCAGGCCCGTACCCCTGCCCTGGCCAGCACCCCCATCCCGCCCATGCCGCAGGCTCCCTGTCCTGCTGCAGACCCAGAGATCAGAGCCCAGGATGCTCCTCTCTCCTTGCTCCAGCCACAGGATGGGAAGCAACAGGCTCCAGAGGCCCTGTGGGCTGAAGCCAAGGTGGCTGTTCCTGTCAGTGTCCTGCCAGAACCAGAGGAGCCTGGGGGCAAGCAACAAGAAGCCAGTCCTGGCCAGTCCCCAAAAGATCAGGCCTCCTTGGCTCCACCCCTCAGCCCTGACAACTCCAGTTTAGAGGTTAAAGGTGTAGAACCCAGAGCATCTAGAGTACCCAGCATATTCCAGGAGGAAGGTGAAGGGCAAATCTGGGGGCTGGTAGAGAAAGACACAGCCAGGGAGAGCAAAATGGTAAGCAGTTTGCAGCAGGAAATATGGCAAAAAGAAGGGGATCTTGACATGAAGGAAACCCAAGACTCCCAGGTTCCTCTGGAAAAAGAAACCCTAAAGTTGCTGGGAGAGGAAATTGAAGAGGCACTGGAAAACCAGAGCCATGAGACACTAGAAAAGGAGAATCAAGAATCACTGAGGTCTTTAGAAGGAGACTTGGTAATACTAAAAAGTCTAGAAAAGGAAAATCAGGAGCCAGTGAAGTCTTTAGAAGAAAAGGATGTGGAGGTAGTGAGACTTCTAGAAAAAGAGGCTCTAGACCTACTTAAGCCTATAGGAAAAGAGAACATACAGATACTGAAATCCCCAGAAAAGGAGAGTCAAGAAGTACCGAGATCTCTTGAAGGTAATATAGAGACATTTTTATTTCCAGGAAAAGAAAATCAATTAGTAAGTTCTCTAGAAGAGAATTTAGAATCATTAACAGCTTTAGAAAAGGAAAATCAGGAGCCACTGAGATCTCAAGAAGTAGAGGATCAGGAGACATTGAGACCCCTGATGGAAGAGAATCAGGAATCCCTGAGGTCTCTTGAAGATGAGACATATAGACCTCTAGAAGAGGAGGACGAAGAGACATTGAGACCTTTTGAAAAAGAGACTCAGCAGTCACTGAGATCTCTAGGGGAAGAAGACCAGATGACATTAAGACCTCCAGAAAAAGTAGATCCAGAACCACTGGAGTCTCTTGGGAAAGACCAAGAGATAACCAGACATCTTGACAAAGAGAATCAAGAGTTATTAAACTCACTAAAAGAAGAGCGTATAGAGGCAATGAGATCTTTAGAAATAGAAAACCTAGAATCACTGAAGTCTGCAGAAGGGAACCTGGAAACAATAGAATCTCTAGAAACTCAAGAGCTACTGCAGTCTCTAGAAGAAATGAATCAAGGGACAACGAAACCTGTAGGAAAGGATATTCAGGAACCAATGGGGTCTGTGGAAGAGAACCAAGAGAAGTTAAGACTCCTAGAAAAGGAAAATCAAGAACAGCTGAGATCTCTAGAAGCATGGGACCTAGAGAATTTGAGATCTCCACAAAAGGTAGACAAGGAAAGTCAAAGGAATCTGGAAGAGAAAGAGAAACTGGGGAAGGGAGAGAATCCAGAGTCACTGAGGTCTCTGGAAGAGGAGGGACAGAAGGTGCCACAGTCTGCAGATCAGCAGAGGTGGGAAGATGTGGTTATGAGGGACCAAGAACTGGGTTGGGAAAGTCCCCCTGGAAGGGCTGGAGTGGAAACTGAGAATGAGGATAAGGCAGAGCTAGACCTGAGGGAGCAGGGTGGCTTTGCTGGGAAGGAGAAGGCCGAAGAGCAGGAAGAACTACAGCTGCAGGCCACAGGGGAAGCCTGGAGCCCAAGCAAGGGGCACACAGGGAGCCATGAGTCCAAAGAGCAGAAGGGCCCAGCTGCAGGAGCCAGTGGGAAGGCAGATGCTGAGGGCCTCCAGGACCCTGAAGGGCAACCAGAGCAAGTGGGGGCCCCAGGCTTCCAAGCACCCCAGGGAATTCCAGAGGTGATGGAACCCCCATTGGAAGATGAAGATGTGGTCCAAGAGGGTGGCCAAGCTTCCTCAGAGGTCACCTTGGGGTCAGAGCCAGCCTTGGGTGAGTCTGCTGTGGCAGCTGAGGAGGGACTGGAGCAGGAGGTGCGAGGGCCAGAGGACCCAGGCCACCAGGCCGTAGGGGAGGTGATAGATCCTCCTCCAGAAGAGGAAAGTTTAGAGGCAAAGAGGGTTCAGGACTTGGAAGGGCCTGGAGAGGACTCAGAGGAGACTGATGCTCTGGAGGCTGAGCCCTCTAAGTCCCCCAGGGGCAGCAGAGATCCCCTGGAGCCTCCCCAGGGCTGGGAGGAGTCAGAGTGTGAGACCTGGGGAGCAGAGGAGGTATTGCCTGTGGAGATCTCAGGCCACAGTGGAAGTGATGCCCCTCTACCTAGGCCCCTGGGCTCAGAGGAAGCTGAGGAGGATGGACAGCTGGTGCTGGACTCCCCTGGCCCAAGGCCCACTGAAACCCGGTTGCCCACTGAAATCCTGGCAGATGACCCTGGGCCACAGACCCAGGCTGAGGGGAGCCAGGGAGCTAGCTGGGGGCTAGAGGGCAGGGCTGAGGCCCTGGGAGAAGTGGAGGGTGAGCAGGAGGAGTTAGGTTCTGGGGAGATCTCTGAGGGCCTCCAGGAGGAGGGGGAGGAAAGCAAAGAAGACAGTGAGGCTGATGAGCTTGGGGAGACCCTTCCTGACTCCACTCCCTTGGCCCTCTACCTCAGGTCCCCCACTTCCTCCAAGTGGGACTCGGTTGGGGAGCAGAGGCCTTCCCCTCAAGGGGAGACCAGAAAGGAAACCTGGGATCCTGTTGGTCTGGTTTCCCAGGGCCTTGGGGCCCAATGCTCAGCAGAGGATGAAGAAGATAGGGAGGGGGAGTGTGGCCATGACTCTGACCTGTCAGAGGAATTTGAGGACCTGGGGACTGAGGCTTCTCTTCTTCCTGGAGTCCCCAGGGAGGTGGCAGAACCTCTGGGCCAGGCGTCCCAGCTGGTACTGGAGCCTGCAGCCTGGGATCGGGATGGGGAGTCTGATGGGTTTGCCGATGAGGAAGAGAGTGGGGAAGAGGCAGAGGAAGAGGACGGGAGGGAACCAGGGGCTAGGCGCTGGGGGCCAGGGTCCTCTGTTGGCAGCCTCCAGAACCTGAGCAGCTCCCAGAGAGAGGATCTACTTGAGTCTGAGGCTGTGGATGTCAGTGTCTCTTGGGATGATGGCTTGAGGGGTGCGGTGGCTGATGCCTCTGTGACTACCCTGGAGACTGAGTCCCAGGAGAGCGCTGAGCCTTCTGGCTCAGAGGAAGAGTCTAGCCCTATTCCTTTGGAGACCCCCAGTGGAGTGGAGGATGTGAGCCCAGGGGACACTCTTGGTGTCAATGGCCAAGACCCCAACTTGGAGGAGTCAGAACACATGAATGGGGGTGTGATGAATGGGTTGGGGCAGTCTGAGGGAGTGGGGCAAGGGAAATTGGAGTCCTCTGAGAGGGGCCAAGGGAGCCCCTTACAGGAAGAAGAGGGGGGTGCCTTGAAGACACCTTGGGCAGGGGCTCCTCTTCACCTGGGCCCAGGGCAGTTCATGAAGTTCACTCAGAGGGCAGGAGATGGAGACTCCTGGTCCTCAGGGGAAGACTAGAGAAAGAGCTCATCCTCCTGCAATCCCCTCCCTGCTCAGGGGCACCTTAGCATATGATCTCTTGACCTGTGGTTTCTTCCAAGAGGCCTGGCAGGCTCAGGGGAGATGGGGTGTAGCAAAGGAACCGGTCTCAGAATGGAGGCTCTGAAAATAAAAAAGCTCACGCCCTGAACAGGGGCCTCCTGCCTGTACCATCCCACAGGCTTAAGTCAGCTGCACCCTGGGGTGCCAGGCCCCCTTCCTCTGCACCCATCAGCTGGAACAGGCTTGGGGCCCAGTGGCTCCTCCAAAGGGAGGGGCTGTGGTGGTCTTTGTGTCCCTCCTCATGCCAGTAGCACCACCGTGGTAGGGTGTCTGCTCTGTGGCTAGTGTAGGCGAGGGTGCCCCTCTGCCCTGACCCCCACTTCCCTGCCATGTTGTGGCCCTGCCTGGCTCATCCTGCTTGAATAAAGTAATGCCTCTGCCTACAAAGTCTGGACTCTTCCTTGCCCCATTCAGGGGGCAGATAGTGGGGAGACAGTAGAGGAGGAAGGAGGAGAGTCTGGCCCTGGTGAGGGGCCTCCTGAGGATGCAGCAGATAGACTCAGGCTGCAGGAAGCTGTGCTGGGGCCTGGGGAGGCTGAGGGTCTGCTGTTTCACTGGGGGAGGCCAGTCCAGGGTGACCTCAGCATCTGCAGAAGCCAAGCCTATCATCATCTCTGCCCACAGCCCTGATGACAGGGATTAGACCTTGGGCTGCCCCCACCCTTGCATGTCCCTCCTCACCATTCCTTCAGTGCCGCCAGCATAATAAGCCCCCTCATCCCAAACCCAAACAATTGTCTGGCCTGTGATATCCTCTCAGACTGGCTGGGTCAGAGTGGAATGAGAGAAGAGGGAGGCCTGTCCTGCCCTAGTCTGGCTGTGTGGCCTTGGACAGCGTTTAACCTCTCTGATCCTCAAATTCAGCCACATGATCAGGGAGGCTGAGGGAAGCTGGAGGACCAAAGCTTAGATCTTCAGCAAGACTTTCCTCACGTGATGAAGCAGGCGACAGAGAAGGGAAAGTGAGAATGAAGGTGGGTGGGCCAAGCTGTGTTGCTGGCAGTGCTGTGCAGCCAGCAGGTCAGCCCGAGGGCCAGCAGCCATAGCCTAGGAGTTCTCTGGATCCCCATGTAAGGCAGGGAGGGACCAGGGGTTCCTGGATTAGGCATGGCCCAAAGGCCTTGAAGTCAGGATACTCAAATAGAAACCACTCCCCAGTTCAGCTCTGCAGGGGAGGAAGATCTGGTGATACCTCTGAATATCCCAGGGGGTGGTGGGACAGGGGCTGCCAAGAAAATGTTCCACATTTAGAGACAATCCCAAGTCCAGGAGCAGATTCTTCTCCTTGGGCTCAAGGCTGAGGGCAAGGGAAGGAAGAGCAGATGAGGTCCTAGTCCCTCTGGCCCCTATTCCTGTCCTCTGGCCAAGGAGGGGTGGACAGGAGGCCTCACAGGTTAGACTCCTGCTCTGCTTCTCTGCCCACACCTCTTTCCTCCATTTAGAGTCTCTGCCTTGGGCACCCAGGCCCTTTCTCTCTCCCTCACACACACATATGTATTCACACATATGCACGTACATGCACACACACACACATACACACTCTCGGGGTCTAGGATCCTGTCTCTCCCTACCCCACCCTCTTGGCAACCCAAGCCTCAGCTGTGTACTTTCTGTATCCACTGCAAACAAGGACCCATCCAATCCTGCCAGGCAGACAAGCCTGGGGCTATTACATTGGCATCCAGGCAGGAAGGTCCACTCCCTGCCCCTCTAATGGGACAGAGGTGCCCTGTGCTTGATCTCTCCAGGCCCTCGGGCACCCCCGCTTGGGTGAAGGCCAAGTATAAGAACAGAGGTCTAGCCAAGCAGTCCTTCTCTGTGCCTGGGTGCCCATCCTGCTCCCCACCCACAGCCTCTGTTCTCCTGAGGATCCACCCAAACAGGCCCTTGCTGCCAATAATCCTAAACAGGGTGAGGGATATAAATTAGGAATGAGGATCTTCCTAAAGGGGGAGTGTGGTGGGAGCCATGTTCTCTTTGGAAGTGACTGTCTACCCATGTAACAAGACAAATGAGGGTTGGACAGTAAGAGGGATGATCCTGGAGTGATCGCCATTTTTCTTCTTTTTTCAATTTTTAATTTTTTGTTTTTAAAATTTTGTTGTTAGAGATAAGGTCTTGCTCTGCTGCTCAGGCTGGAGTGCAGTGGCATCATCATAGCTCACTGTAACCTCAAACTCCTGGGCTCAAGTGATCCTCTTGCCTCAGCTTCCTGGAACTACAAGCAGGCACCACCATGCTCAGCTAATTTTTTTTATTTTTTGTAGAGATGGGGGTCTTGCTATGTTGCTCAGGCTGGTCTCAAACTCTTGGGTTATAGGGATCCTCCTACCATTAAAAATGATTGTCATTTTTTTTTTTTT